TATTCCCATGATATCCGAATTTTTTTAATGCTTCTAATTCAAGAGAAATTTCATCTCAAAAATTGAACAAAATACGAGAAAAAAATCAAGTACGCCACTTCAAAACAATGTAAATGATTGAACTCCGAGTGATCGTGCCTACCGCATGAAAATTTGAACAGAGGTGACGTCAGATTCGCTACAGTGTAGAACTTTGGGTGGGAAAAGGGGTCTAACCTCAAATTTTATTTTGATCCCTAAATTTTTTCGATAGTACACGTCGAGCTTTCTCAGTATTTGAAATATTTGCACTTATTTCAATGCCACCCTGTAAATAGGGATTTCAGAGATTCGACAGGCACTATTATGCGTTCTGAAACAGACAGAGATTCACGGCTTGACTTGATATTCAAGCTACTTGACTTGACTTGACTTGAAATCAAGTCAAGTTCAAGTCAAGCGAAAGTTTTTTAATGTCAAGTCAAGTCAAGTAATTATTTATCAAGTACTTGAAAAATCAAGTAGTTCTATCAAGCTACTTGATTTTCAGCAGTTTTATTGTGTGTCTATACAGCGTGACTCACGGTCGATGTTATAGGTTAGACGTTTATGGAGAACGCGACGCGGGATTTTTCTGAAAATTTCGCATACACAAAAAGTTCCTGAAGTTGAAAAATCTCGATTTTTCGCACTCTATATCTCCATAATCTTTTCCGCCATACCCCGAGTGTGATGTATCGATGAAATCAACTCTTCAAGGAAAATCTGAAAATGCAATAAAATACAGGGTGTTCAATTCGAAATAACAAAGTGGTTCCTACTTTTCTATAGAAGCGGCAACGTCGTGAATTTGAAAATATATTAGATCGATAGTACCGGTGATGAAATGTGAGATGCGAAATTTTCATGAAAATCCTGCGTTGCGTTCCTATCATAAACGTGAACGTCTAACCTACCATCGACCGTGAGTCACCCTGTATATAACTGATGAAATGAAAATTTCATCGTAAGACTGACTGCGCGATCGTCGATCGATTCAGTCAGCTCGGATCTCGGGGAACCCCCGTATTTTGTCTAAGCGTGAGAGAGCTTGCAGAAATATACGCCGTGCGACTCGTGCGTATCAAGATCAAGTATTATCAAGTAGCTTGATTTCAAGTCAAGTAATAAATATCTCAAATTCAAGTCAAGTCAAGTACGTAATTTGCCACGAGCTTGGTTTTCAAGTCAAGTCAAGTAGTTTGTTAAAATATCAAGCTACTTGACTTGATGAATCTCTGGAAACAGATGACAACCACCAAGTTTGTGACGGAAACGAAGTGAAATATGATAAAACAAAGAACGTGTCAAGTATAAAATGAATGTTAATGTTAGTATCAGCAATAAATAAGCAAAATGAGATTGATTTAAAATTGCATTTTTCATTATTTCATAGTCCACTAGTGGTTTAATTGGTACTGTCGAGTACTTCAGTTTCAAGGTGACTGTAGATAAATATTATGATTATTACTACTCTCGTTCAATTATTCAATGGAACAGGCCAGCGTAGCCTCGTGGTAGAAGTTTCAGTATATCCACGTTGTGGATTACCGATAGGTGAGTTCGATTACCACCACGACCGCAGAAATTTTTCTGATGGCCCAAGAAAGTGTTTGGGATCACACGTCAAGAGGTAAGACCCCAGTCATTCCTTGCTCGCACCAAATGATGGATAAGAACAATTCGAGAACAAAAAAAGAACAACAATATAAATGTGCAATTCAAATTATGATGTATCGGTAAAAAACATTCACTGCACCAAGGAAATATACGGTTTTGCAATCGCGTGCCACTATTTGTTGATCTAACGGCACAAATCAGAGCTTTTCCATCCCGCTTTCCGTCCTGCCGTGACCACAGACAACACGGAGACTGATCGAACGTTGGGAACGGTGCCTCCGCCGCCCCATCGATTGCCGAGGCCGCCTCCTGGTGGATGCACCTGCCCTGCCGATCGAAACTTCCGCTTCGTGGAGGCGGCAACGGTGCGACGCTGCTGCTCTCTCGGTCACCTAGTTACCGACTGGCACAGGCATACAAACTTTTATTGGGCTTGTGGCCTGTTGTGGCAAAGTGTGTTAGTCAGCTCTTCAAATCTTTTGAATTGACTCGGCCTCTTGATGGAAATCCATAGTAAATGTAAAAAGTTCACGAACGATTAGATTTCCACAATCCACAAAATTCCTAATCACACGATGTTTTGCTAACATAGTAGATTCTTCAGATGAAATACTGGTACAATAAACCATACTCACATTGACTTGTCTAACTTGTATATCTTACTTTCACAGGCCATAGGATTAAAATACCTTTGGAATGGTTCGATAAACCTTCATTTTCGGAAAGTAGGCACAATATCTGGAATTGCTTTATACGGAGTTTTTCAGTGAGAATATTATTGTCGTCCAATCACTGTTGATTTTGCGGGGGCAGTACCATTATTTGGAAAGGGCTATATTTGTGTATTTGGAGCTCGAAGTGAAAGATTGCTGCTTTGTTGAAGCAAGAAATGAAGAAAGGTACTTCTACTCTAATTACAAGAATTTTGGAGCATACATAAAATTCACCTTGAAAACTTCATGAGCCAAAAACTCGCTTTCTGAGTATCTATTACTATCTAGTATCTATCACCATTTTGACTATCATAATTTATATTTCTTCCTTCCTTCCTTGATTTTTCCGGTAGAACTTTTGCACTTCCTGCTACTTTCATGCAAAATTTAGCATAGGTCATTATCATAATATCCCTGAGAACAAATATTTGCCTCCCTTTGATTGTCTTGAAACTTTTACATCAGCAAATTTTTTTTATCTCATCGGTTTTATTTTGTAGAAATGGGATTTTATATCAAATTGGATGCTCGCTCATGAAAAGTAGGTCAATTCATTCACATTTTCCTGTCTTTTCAGATATCAAAACAGATATGAAAAATTGTTTTTGAAATAGTAGAAATTGTCTGTTCTCTCTGAAGACGGACCTGAATTCTAATTTGAAGTTGTCTGTTCTTCCTGAAGACGGACCTGGTCCTGATGGATTCTAATTTCCATATCCCTATTAATTTATAGTCTTGATCAGTAATGCAATGAGTGAAGTATATCTAGCAAAGTATGAATTGATTATACAGTGCCTTAAAGAGTTATGACCATTGACCATCAGATATACATATATATTTTGCCAAAATCATGATAGTACGTTATTCTGTATGTCAGTTATGAAACATGGTAGACACTTCGACAGGGGGTGGTTTGGAACCACCAAAAAGTCCTCAATCTACATGTTTTACGTATGTAAGTACATTCAAATCCGAAACACCCTGTATACCTATTTATAAATTTAGGTGACATAAGTCAAAGGCAGCCAAATGATTTTTTCAAACGAACCCTGAACCACCCCACTACACATGATACATAACAAAAATATTTTTCAGTAATAACTTTTGTGATATTGTTGGAATAACATTGCGATAATGTCCTTCTGAAGTATCCAACACAATATCATGAAGTAAAACGTTTATGAGACATCGCATCAATATTGACATCAATATCATTAGATAATATTGTGATATATTGATTTTAGGTTTATCAGATATATCTCAGATAGAGTTTGTATGTTATTTGTGCAACGTTTTCGCTTCACCACCTTATAACGTAGCTTACATGCATACAGGATACAAGGAGATGATATTTGTTCTTTTACGGCAAAGTAACCTTGTCAACTGTCAAAAGTCAATTCAATTCCATTTCAGCCATTTTGTTTGTGGTCTATTATGGTGAACAAGCCAAATAGTGTGATCAGTGAAAATATTGATTTTTAGGTATTATTCGTATAGTTATCAAAGTAAGTGAGGAACTTGGAACAAATCTTGGACTCAAATTCGAAACAACAATGAATTGCTCATGATAACTACTTATAATCCAGGTTTGCTCTGCTGGAACATAGAAATGCAACCAATCTGTATCTGCATTTTATAATATGTGGAAAAGTAGGAGGGATTCGTGAATACGGATTGTGTTCATATTTCACGAATTACAAAAATAATGGGTGAGTTATTTATCATAGCTAGAAGAAGAACATAGAATAGAATTTCAAAATAATTCAGAAAACTCCCAAAAACTCGTATAGAAATATATTTACCTATTACTTTTCAGAATTTCAGTAATGGATCACTGGATTATGCAGAAATCATATAGCTGGACTGACTAGATTTTATGAGGCAGAATAACTAAAATGATACTAAGGGAAATAGTAGTCAATCTGTCTCAAAATATCACTGAGTAACTAGATCATACGTATAGTTTTTCAGGAGTTCGGTTGGATCAATTAATATTTAGGGTTATTTCATCTTCTCTGATGTCTTTTCTGAAGATCATTCAGGTGATTTTCTTGATGATTCCAGACAAAATAGACATAACCTAAAAACTCCTAGAAACTAATTAGAATGTTAATATACAATATTGTTCAGATGTTTTGAGTAACATTAAATAAACGTTATGAAGTAACATTGATTTTATGTGATTCCTGATATATTTATATAATATTTACCATCAACATTACATTGCAATATTTATACGAGGCACATACGTCGATTGCCGCAACGTAACTGTGATATCAAGCATATCTCTAAATAACATCACAAAGTCACATTGTAATATTACATTTATGTTTGAGTTATGTTATTATGTTTAGTGGGACTGTAGATAAGTGGTAGTTGGTAGTTGATATCCTGCTATGTTGATCATGTTGATTCAATGTGTTGATTGATTAGAAACCTGCAGAAATATAATCGTACGAAAACAAACTGTTAGACCGGCAGAGTCTTAATCAACCGAGAGAAGAAAGAATATGATGCAAATCATAAGCACAAGAAGATTCTAAAGATTCCACATATGGCAACATTGGCAACCTCGGAAATTCTCATTCATGACAAAGACATATGACAATCTGATTCTGAATTCTGACATTTGATATTGTGAGTTATGATTTCGTTCGGGTTTTTGAATTTTATTTAACGTTTTTGCCTTTTGTGTTCCCAATTTCATGTTATTTTCTGTTGATCTGCTGTTGGACAATTATAAAGAAAGGGTTGGTTGCCCTCAGTGAGAGTGCTATTATAGTTTAATACAATGAAAGATTACAAGAACATTGAATACCGAGTTGAATACACCAAAGAGAAAAAGGAAAATGATGGAGGTGATTCATTGAAAACGGGAATCGAAGATCCTGAGGATGCGGATATAGACACCGACTTACTATGCCCAGACATAATAATGGAAGTCAAGAGTGACTCGATAGCAACAGGGAATGGTAAATATAATGCATGAATTGTATCTAAAATTGAGGTTCAAAGTAAGTTCAAAGATGATGGGTATCCTGCTGTACCCCTGTACGATCACAATCTTATGACATCATCTGATCATCTCATCTCATCCATTCATTATTCTCACGGTTTTAGCCTTAGATCATACTAGCGTCTGCGGACAGGTGCAAGTAATAACTCCGTGGTAGGGGAACGTTAGTTAACTTGTGTCGAGTCTAATATAAGGAAGGCATTTTTTTTAACAATCAATCGACCTAGATGAACCTTTTTTTCTTGAAGGAGGAGAATTTTTCTTGAGGAAGGAAAATATTGTTTCTGCATAAAAAATGAGAAGGCGGTACAGGGTGGCCAACTAAGACTCCAGAGTTCAATTTCTCTGTTGTCTTGAGAAATACAAGAAAAAGTCATGTATCAAAATTGAAGTAATAATCGAGCTTCACATTTCAAAATTTCTTTGAAATACACAGGGTGTTCCGTAAGGTCACAGCACATCAAAACTATGCTTTTTTCATTGGAAAACCCTATATTTTATTTCATTTTTGAATTCTCTCTGAAGATTTGATTTCAACGACGTATCATACTCAGGGTCTAGCAGTGAAAGTTATTGACATATAGGGTGTGCAAAATCGAGATTTTCCAAGTTCAAATTTTTTTTCTGTCGAAACTGTTCATTATTCATCAAAACGGTTTACATGTCCCTATCTCAACTTTTCACTCACTATCAATTGGTGTTCAATTGAATTTGATACAAGGTGGTCAAAAAATCTTAATTCATAATTTGTTTCAATTAAATGTCAATTGAACACCAATTGATAGTGAGTGAAAAGTTGAGATAGGGACATGTAAACCGATTTGACGAATAATGAACAGTTTCGACAGAAAAAAATCCTGAAAATAGATAATCTCGATTTTGCACACCCTATATGTCAGTATAACTTTCACTGCTAGACCCCAAGTATGATGGGTCGTTGAAATCAGATCTTCAGGAAGAATTCAAAAATAAAATAAAATATAGGGTGTTTCCATGAAAAAAACCTAGCTTTGATGTGCTGTGACCTTACGGAACACCCTGTGTATTTCAAAGAAATTTGGAAATGTGAAGCTTGATTATTACTTCAATTTTGATACATGACTTTTTTTTGTATCTCTCAAGACAACAGAGAAATCGAACTCTGGAGTCTTAGTTGGCCACCCTGTACATATACTAAAAATTGGAACGATACAGAGAAGATTAGCATGGCCCCTGCGCAAGGATGACACGCAAAATCGTAAAGCGTTCCACATTTTTAGTATATTATTATGTACTCGCTTCGGCGGTACATATACTATTTATGAGTATATCTGTACTTGTATTAACACCAAATAAAATATTCTATTCTATTCTAACCTAACCTAACCGAACCTCACCTCTGGCCTAAACATAGAAAACCCCTAAATGAACCTATTTCCCATAGAGAATATTTTTTAGAAATCACTTGAGAACAAGAAAAAAATTAAAAAAAAGATGAGCCCAGCCCGCCGGCTTGGCATGCCGATGCTCTGCTTACTGAGCCAACCAGTTGCTTACGAGACAAAGTATGATGAAGTCATTCAGTCGGCACCGCATAACGCCAGTCGCATCTACTGCCCACTATAACGTTCTCCCACCACGGAGTTATTACTTGCACCTGTCCGCAGACGCTAGTTTAGATCATGATCTAAGGTTTTATCAATTAAATCATGTTCACTTTTATATAGGTCACATGCATGATCATCGTTGACCGACCTCAGCGTTGCGGCGTTGCCAGCCCAGTAACAGCAACTCAAAATGTACTAAAAAACACCGGATAAAGTACTAGTTTTTCGACAGTAGTACTAGTTTGGATTTTCATACGAACATCCTACTATTGAGTAGAGATAGGTGGTGGGGGGGGGAGGAGCGAAATAGACAAAGAGAAAAATAATATAATCTGATTTACTGAATATTGTGAATATCCCATTTATCATTAACATTAGTCAAAACATTTCAAAACAGTGAATCGTCATTCTGTCATTCATTTTTATACATAATCATGACTTTAAACAACGTGAAAACATTTGACAAATGACAATATACAATATTGACACGTGATATGAACTGCATAGTAGAGTATAGTACAGTATATAAGGACAAAACTCAAAACTTTGAAAACATTTCAAAACAGTCAATCGTTATTCTGTCATTCATTTTTGTTCATAATCATAGCTTTAAGCTACGCGAAAACAGTTGACAAATGACAATATACAATATTGGCACGTATAGTACACACATGGTACATACAAGGACAAAACTCAAAACTTTGTTTGGATGGAAGACAATAATGTAATTTCTTTGAATTATTTTGGTGATGTCGATACTTCGATGCTTCGATATTTCAAGTCAAAACGTGGAAAACGTACGAATTTTGCGATCGGCGTACTAGCGTACTAGATAGTGAAGATGTACTGAATCTAGTACGAAAGTACTAGGTCCGGCAACGCTGCCCACCCTGGAGGTAAAACAACACAAGCCCTTTTCATCAATTTCATCATGTCTACACAACCGCCGAGGAGGTTGGATACTGATACACAAACAACCGCCGCGACGATATTATTTCCTTTATAATTGAGACTCCAGTTCAGAATTCTGAATCTTGAACCACTTAAATATCAGTAGATAGTAAATCGAAAGTTGGGATGGGGACATGAAAGCCGTTTTGACCGATAATGAATAGTTTCGTCACAAAAAAATCCTAAAGTTAAAAAATCCCGATTTCAAACACCGTATCTCTTAGTGTAATAATACATCTCTTCAGGGAGAATCTAAAAATGCAATGAAATACAGGGTGATCCATTTGAAAATCGAAAGTTGATGCCCGTTAGGGTTCAAGGTTTCAACCTTGGAATATGATAATTGCAGAAAAATGTATCCCTCGCCAAATTGAAATCGACCACTCCGAGCGATTTTCAATTTTTTCAAATACATCGGATATCAGGAGGGATACAAGATTTAGCTGGGACACACTACACACTGTATGAGGCAATTGCCAACTTTGTTCAACCATCTTTTTCGAAAGGAAGAGAAATTGTTATTAGTTGAGAAGGATGGCTTCCCAACTATAAATAATTTCTCTGTTAGTCGTAGCTTGTTCAGGGGTTGTACTGGGCGTGCTTTGAGTATGATATCACAAGTCAATCGTTGTTTTGGTGCAAAGTAAAAATTTTGATTTGTTAAACCCAAAATTCTCTTGACTGAATTTTGAGTTCAAGTCGTACAAATCTGATTATATGTCATAGTAGCCTGTTTATTTTCAGAATTAATTCAGGAATGTAAGAATGAACCATTCAGTTTAAGTTCTTCAGCATACGACTACAACATAACAGGTGCAAGAGGTGCGTTTTGAAAACCAATAATCAGTAACAAAATATAAAGACATGTTTGTGATTTCAGCTCAATTCAAACTGAATGCAGAGGAGGAGCAACTTGAGAAAGCTGTCTACAAAATAGGTAACCAACAAAAAATATATAGACGTTCTTATCTCCTGATAGGAAATAAGCGAAAATAAGCTTCTATTTTTTTTCTGAAGTGAAAATTGATTTTACGAAAAAAAGAAAAAGTACATATACCGGGTGTCCCATTTTAATCTTTATTTGGAAATTTCTCGAAATGTATGCATCTGACAAAAAAAATTGACGAATAAAAGTTGTATGGTTTGGAGGAGGACGTCTGGTTATAAAACAAGTTTCACCCCCTGACCCCCAGGGGAGTAAGAAATGGAGGTAACATTGAAATCTTTAATGGAAACCCCTATTTTTTATTGCAGATTCTGGAAGAGCATTAAAAACTATGAAGCTTTTATTCGGGAACTTCTTTTTTATTTTCACAAGATGGCGCTGCGATCGTAAAAAACAATGTTTCACTATTTACACATTTCAACCTCCTGAAGACGAGGAAGAGTGTAGGGTGTGATATTTTCCCAGACAAACGCCATTGGGGTGATATTCACACGACAAATTAACGCTAAACGAACTTACTTACCTTGACACCTCTACATAGAAAAGAGAAAAATAAGCATGTTTCAGCAATTAAGGTATCATTTAGGTCAGACTAGAGCTGGTTTTAAGTGAGATTGACTACTTTATCAAGTGTTCGAAATGACCTCCATTTTCTTGAATAGGTACACAAGTTCATTCGTTTTTCAAAATTCCGCATTGTCGCTTCCAACATAGCAGGCGTTATCTTTCATATTCTCGCGTGTGGTTGGGGGTTCGCGAAACACAATGTTTTTGATGTAACCCCACAGAAAGAAGTCTGGGGAAGTCAAGTCGGGTGATCTGGGTGGCCAACTACAAACTAAATAGTAAAATATTGTTTTTCAAGATCGCAGCGCCATCTTGTGAAAATAGAAAAGGAGTTCCTGAATAAAAGCTTCATAGTTTTTAATGCTCTTCCAGAATCAGCAATAAAAAATAGGGGTTTCCATTAAAGATTTCAATGTTACCCCAATTTCCCACTCCCCTGGGGGTCAGGAGGTGAAACTTGTTTTATAACCAGACGTCCCCCTCCAAACCATACAACTTTTATTCGGCAATTTTTTTTGTCAGATGCATACATTTCGAGAAATTTTCAAATAAAGATTAAAATGGGACACCCGGTACCTATATTAATTTTTACAAACTTCACAGTGAGATAGGAACCTCAATATGGGAAACTTTCCCATTGACTGATTATTCCCGAAATAATGATGTTGAACCGAGTGTTGAACGATTTTTTTTTATCTCATTGCTCTTATTGCAAGATCAATCTGTCAACTAGGGCGCAATTGACAGAATGATCTCGTGATTATAATTTTCTAACGAACAATTTTTTATTTTCGCGTAGGTACTAGATGGTACTAGTGTTATTTTTAATCACGAATTATTCCGATTCCAGATCCGGAGTGCATCAAATACACGAAAATCCATTGTACAGCGTGTAACGCCCATCTGGGCAGCGCCCTCAACGATCTAGGGAACATTTTCGTGCACCCTCTGCTCTTCGTGTTGGTGTGCAAGGAGTGCTTCGATTACTACTCCAAGGGCAGCTTCGAAACGGACGACGATGGCAGCGAAGAGTTCTGCAGATGGTGCGGTCAGGGTGGGGGTGTTTTGTGTTGCAACGTGTGCCCCATGGTATTTTGCAAGGTAAACATCGGAATACTCGAAATTAGTATTAATAATAATAATAATCTTTTTTTACTCACATAACTAAAATGGCATTTAGCGTACGGATATGTACCACGCTAAATGATCGATTAATCACGGATTGTCGATCTGTGATTTATTCAAAATATCAAACATGTTACCATGGCAACACGATTTCTTAAACACATCACCATGGCAACGCAGTTCATTAAACACACCTTCAGTACCTAATTCCAGACATATCTGGCCTGTCAGTTGTATTAACTGTCAACTGTTATTTTCATATTTTGTATCAGAATTATTCAAACAATATTCGTTTGTATCGGAATTCTTCATTAAAAATATATGCGAAAAGTAGACGAAAGAAAAATCAAAGAAAATGTTCTGGTACTCGCATATCTCCAAGAAGTGTAAACATGAAGCATCCATCTTTGAGAACAATTTATTTATTCTGCGCTAAGCATGACAATAAACGTGAAACAAAGGTTAGTACTGGTTAGACTGGACACATCTACAACCAATATCACTTATACGTGTCTCGCTGGTTGCATGCAGTTGCATTTATTATGTTCTCCATTCCCACCCCTTTCGAATTTTTCTGTAGGTTGGCAGGAATTGCAGGTATGTTAATGTAATTTTTTTAGTTCGTAGAAAAATCATAGTATGTAACGCGTTTATAAACTCTTCTAGACACTCGTTTATTAAACACTCGCTCCGCTCTGCTCCGCTCGTGCTCAAAATACTCGTTACTAAAAGGACGTTTATAACACTTGTTACATAATATACTATTGTAATGATATTTCCCTTGGAGGGGCTTTAGAAACATCAGCAGGAAGGCAGGAGTACAACGATCATCCTGTATCACGCATACCAGATTGCTCTCCTACCTCCCAATGCACTAGCATATTTCCGAACACTCAATATATGCCGCGGTGACAGATAACGTCACAGAAGATTCTGGAATGTTCTGGAAACAATCGATGGAACAAAAAGAAGGAGACGGAAGATCATTCGAGAAGGTTCTCGAACCAAAGCCTGTCTAGTTATCTCATATATAAACGGCCGAATAACTGCCGTCGGGGAGTCAGTCGAGCAGCGAGTGTCACAGAGACAGCTATATACCGCGTGATATAAATCGTTTTACATAAATAGTAGTTATAAGTTCGTTATAAATTAGTGTTTCTATAGTTCAAATAAATCAGTTCGAAAATAAATAGTGTCGTGTTCGCTTCTGCACCCGAATAACGTAACACTATCATTGCACTATGATACATAAACTATAAAAGAATTTGCAAGCCAGTCAAACATGAGAAAGTCATAATAAATATGAATAGATTTACGATATACGAAAATATATGCTAATTAATTATAGAACACAAAAAAGTGTTTTTTTCTGAAACCGACACAAAAGTCGTCCATTTTGATACCAAAATTAGCTCTCAAATTGACGTTTCTATTACTGACACAAAAATAGGTATGTTGCTAGGCAACATATTCAGTTCCTAGGAGCTAAAGTTGAATTTTAGTTCCTAGGAGCTAAAGTTGAACTTTAGCTCCTAGGAACTAAAAAAGATCTACTGGACGTCATCAAGAATAAACAACATTGTGACGGTTGGTTATTTGGGTTGAGAGGCATACCTGATTTGTTCCCGATTTCAGCAGATTTGGCATTTCATACCCATGCTGTAGATATAAATACACGTTGCAAATATCATTTTCAGATCCGGCACTACTGATAACCCCTGTATACCAAATTTCATATTTTTATGTCAAGTCGTAGCTGAAATATTCGACCGTTCCGGTTCTTTTGGGAAACCCTGTATATGCCGAAAATTCGCATCATAATGAAAAGTGCACGCCTTCTTTGGTCGAAATCTGTATCATCATGAAAATTCATGTTGAAATGAACAATATTTAATTTCTATTTGGGAAGCACACATTTCACGCCTCAAACCACTAATGAAATTACAAAACAAATCATTTAAGTGCATTTTTCATCTGAATTTTCTATAACCAACAGTACATTTATTCAAAACTAGAAAATTTCTGAATCTGATTTCGTTATATAAACTCAAAATATGTTGTTTTATTCATTTCGTCAGGAATTAATTTAAAATATCAAACTTAGCTTCGAAAATAAATATTTGACATGATTTGATTACTCAGAATTGAAATGTTATAACGTTCATCTTGAAAAAAAGTATGAATTTGTTTCCACGGAGTGGAATTCATTAGTTAACATTTCAATATTATTTTTGTTTTTGTGTTCATGTATCCCTATTATAAACAAATACGTTTCTTAGGGTAATAAAAACAATCAATCAATCAAACGGTAGTAAAAATTCAATTTGCTTATTGTGATACGGGAGAGTAGAAAAATTATGTTGTTTTTCATCTGATTTCAGATGTGTATCAGGATCAATTTCGGCATATCAAAGTATGCTGAGATCAGAGACAATGACGACTGGAAATGTTTCTCTTGTGATCCCAGTCAGATAATGGCTTTCAAGGTGCAATGTCACGAGTATGCCAGATACGTCCAGTCAAAAATGTGAGTCTTATTTTTTTTTTTTCATTTGACACTACAGGGTACTCCAAAAATTAAATAATAAACCTATTGTCGATAACTCTGTTGATAGAATGGACTCATATTCATGGACACCCTGTAGGTTCTCAAATGCATGAAGAGTTGAACGATTACTTTCTGTGGAATTTTTTTCAAGTAATTTAGAGATGTGTTGTTTTTCATGTTAGACTTTGGACATTTGGATCGACCCGTATATTCCATGGAAAAAGAATTGAATATTATCACTTCCTTTTTTCACTGGAAGTAGACCTAGCTCGAGAATTTTCAATGGAACCCTGTATATATTTTTACCACATTCGATAGGTCAAACAATCCCTTTTTGAAGGATATATCACAGTAGAACCGAATTTTCGTGAAGTAAACGAAAGAAATATCAAATAAACGAATCACTTTGATTCTTTTTCAATAAATTATGCGAAAATTGTGAGCCATTGCCAATCAGGATTCCTTTCATTCAAATGATAATATTTCATCAGGTTTTTGAATAAATAATGGTATTTGTTTAGACCAACATTATTATTATTTTGTATTGAAACATTATTGAAGATGTCTATTTCATTAACACATATACAGGGTGTTCCGGTGATCATGTTACAAACTTCTAGGGTAGATAAAACACACGAAAATAATAAAAAAAGTTCATGTGAACATGGGTCCGGAAACGCTACTTCAGGGAGCTAGGGCCCTTCGAAGATGACCTTCAAAAACTACTTTTCGTAGTTTTATAGCTTCGGTACTACTGCAGCTATCGCAGGCAATAAATTTCTCTAATCTAATTTATTTTCATTAAAGAAGAAGATTTGACTAACTAATAATGCTCACTATCTGTACTGAACCTCATTTTCATATTTCAACGTAATAATTGGTTTAAGACCAATAATTTATTATTGATTGGACTTAGCCATTTTCGGAGGAAACGGTGACAGATAGCGATTTTTACAAGTGTACCTTTTTTATGTAAGAGGCATTGGAGAATCATAATCAGATATAAAAATGGTAAGAAATTAAAGCCTAAGAGGGGTAGGATCAAATTTACCCAAATACCCCCCTGGTTTGTACGCCCCTGGTTAAAGGTGACCAAATCCGGAAGGCTCAAATTGATGAACCTACGAACTAGATTTCATGTCCCAAAATTGGTTGCGATAGCTGCAGTAGTACCGAAGCTATAAAACGAAAAGTAGTTTTTGAAGGTCATCTTCGAAGGGCCCTAGCTCCCTGAAGAAGCGTTTCCGGACCCATGTTCACATGAACTTTTTTTCTCATTTTCGTGTGTTTTATCTACCCTAGAAGTTTGTAACATGATCACCGGAACACCCTGTATACATAACTACGTCTGTATGAAGCTTGTATCTGTGGATACTGACTTATATCTCAATGTTAATTTCAAAAAAGTACCAGACAGTATTCTATAAAAAAATTCAAGAGAAAGAACACCATTTGAAAGAATTACTAAACGGAACCCACATTGACGCTGAATAAAAATTACCACATGATTCATCAAAAACAAATCAAAAAGTGCTTCGTTTATTTGTAGCTTATCAGGTTGCTTGAAAACTCGATCGACGACAACGTCGCCATATTGATTTTGGAAGATATGTCTCTTGTGCCGCCATTTTGGGAACAAATGTCCACTTGTAATATCTCATTGCAAAGGGAATTTTTTGATCTGTCGAATGGCGTGAAAATATATACAGGGTTCCATTGAAAATTTCACACTTAACATTTTTGACCAACTAAAAGCCTGTATTTTGTATCGTTACCATAGCAACTAAACAAATTTCAGAAAAGTTTGTCCTCCTTGGGAAAAGGAGCATGATATTACACTGGACATTTTTTGACATTTATTTTTAGGTAAAATGCGAGTAAAATTATATTCAAATTCAATATTTCATTTAACTAAAGTCGTTAAAACATATTTCATTGAACCTAGTAATCCTAGTAATATTACGTGAGCGAATTCCATTGATACTAAATAGTACCTTTGAGTATATACTCGAGTATATATAATCAAGGATAGTACTTCGAGTTTCTTGTGAGAAAATATATTTCTACCTCCTTTAGTAAACTAAATTTGTGAAAAACCGAAAAAGTGGGCTACTATCGACTTATTTTATATTATTTTGTATAATTAAAGTCAGCTAATTGTGTTTTATTCAACCTGACAATGTTATAGATATGGATTATATTAATACTAACTGTCGAGTTCCTTGTAACAAATAGTAGATTGTTTTATTAGGATCAGAAGTGACACTTTGTTTGACAAGCGAATTTTGCATTTGCGAGGCAGAGCGTTTAGCGAAGCCGAGCGAAAGCAAAATTTGCAAGTCGAACTAAGTCACTTTTGATCCGAATGAAACATGCTATTTTTTCTGCAACCGAAACAATTAATTCAAATAAACATGTGAAGTAACCACCAATGCCGTGCCATATGTATGCAATGCAACAAATATTGACAAATAAGCAAATAAGCAGGTTAGGTTTTCTAGGATGTTCGATATGTAGTTTCAATATAAATACAACCACAGAGTGACATATTTGTGTATGGACCAGGTGCTCTAATGGCAAATACCGCGCCAGTGCCAGCTATAGGAACAAGACGTGGAAAATGTTAGGTTAGTGAGCATATCAACAATGATAATAGTGATTATTTATTCCTCTCCATACTACACTGTGTTTGACTTGATAATCAAATGAAGCTAAACAATATCGTTGTTTGAGACAAAAAAACTATTGCTTGCCGTGATTATTGAAAAACAAGTTATCCATCCCGAGAATAACGAATGAAATACAGATCAAGCAAGTATTTGAATCTTGAAGGCTTCCCTGATCAAACAAAAATACTTAGCTGAGATGTTTATAATTCCAATACTAAACTATAATAAGGTATATTTATATCTCCAGCATGGGTATGAAATTCCAAATCTGCTGAAATCAGAAACAAATCAGGTATGCGTCTCAACCCAAATAACTAACCGGCACAATGTTGTTTATTCTTGATAACGTTCAGTACATTCTTTTTAGTTCCTAGGAGCTAAAGTTCAACTTTAGCTCCTAGGAACTAAAATTTAACTTTAGCTCCTAGGAACTAAATCTGTTGCCTAGCAACATACCCATTTTTGTGTCAGTAATAAAAACGTCAATTTAAGAGCTAATTTTGGTATCAAAATGGACGACTTTTGTGTCGGTTGCAGAAAAAAATATATTTCCACCAACTTTATTGGAATAAAGTTAGTCAAGAATTATAGTTTAAACTTCTATCAGCTGCCTCATTGATATTTCGCGTAACAAAAGTCGATATTTTTTATTTTATTCAGCGTAATCTTTTCCTAGTATTTTTTTGAATTTTGGCGTGAATCTCCTTACCGAATACCACTCTAGCTTCAATTGATCATGTTCTCGTACAAATTTGTGGTAATAATTGAAGCTCTTGTGATATTATAGGTGAAAATTCTCGACCTAGTTCTATTTCCGGTAATACCAGAGGTGATATTCGATAGTTCATCAACAAAAAATATGGGTTTTAAGGAACTAAAATATCTTCGATCCAAATGTCAGAATTCTAACATTAAAATCAAATGATTGACGCCTTTTGTCCAACAAACTGAAATATTTTCATTATTTCAAACGAATGGATCAATTTTGAGCCATTCGGCTATAAAACATACAGGATGAACTATTCTCAAACAATACAGCGTTGCCGTGGACAAGAATATTTTGAAAATAACTTCATCGGAAAAGTACTTCAAATAAGTTGATGCGAATTAACCCTAGTGCGTTGTAAATTCAGTGAATTTGCTCCGATATGGTTTTCATTCTACGGCATACGACGAGGGATTACCGACAATTGGACGTGGTCAATTGAACGCACGAAAATTGGACGCGGATAATTGGACGCGGCGACAATTGGACGCGGCGACAATTGGACGCGGCGACAATTGGACGCGACGAAAATTGGACGCGGCGACAATTGAGCGCATGCGAAAATAAAAATAATTTTATAATTCCAATGAAATTTATTGCATGGAATATGCAGGGCTCATATCTATAATATAACAAATACCTAACCTAACCTAACTAACCTAAAATATTGTACTATATTCGTATCGTAAATTCATATTACGATATGAGATAGGAAAATAATTGTCAAACGAGGCCATAGGTATTTGTTATAATTATGGATATAAGCCCATCAGTATTTCATATTTTATACAATGAATTTCATTGGAATTATAAAATTATTTTTATTTACGCATGCGTCCAATTGTCGCCGCGTCGAATTGACGCCGCGTCTAATTGTCGCCGCGTCCAATTGTCGCCGCGTCCAATTGTCGCCGCGTCCAATTAACTGCCACCAATAGTCGTGCGTCCAATTTTCCACGTCCAATTGACGCGACACCACGACGAGACTGTTTTTCGGGGCAACTGTTTGTCACAACACTCGGTATTAACGAACGAATATCGACTTCAGGTGTATGGCGGATAGTGAAACTGCCGATTTTTACATGAAAACCGATTTCACGCAATGCTGTTCTTCGAGTGTGAAAAGCATCAAAAAAAGAAAAGCCAGTTCGGACGAAGATCCCGATTATGATCCCGATAACGCCATGCAAGAATCGGAACCCAAAATGGCGGCTTGCAAAAAAGAAAATGGCGGTTCGACGAAATTTCTCAAAACTAGGTACACGAACTTGTTGCCAGTGAAAAATATCAAAATTGAGCACGATGAACCGATTTCGAAACCGGCGGGAAGTAAAACGACGTTTCTGATTTCGGAAAAACTGAAAACGGACGTGACAGATACGAAACATCGTATTGGCCTGATCGTTAAAAATCCTGATGCGTCAAAATCTGCGGTTCAGGTTTTGGGAAATACTCCGAATAGTGCACCGCAGGCCTGTGTAGCAACAGGTGAGACAAATGAATTGAGTGACATATCAGGTGACCAAGTTGAAATGTACTTCTTGTATTTCGTTGTTATTTTCTGTAGGTATTTCAAATTCGGACATCGGTTTCGTTTTATGGAACTGTTCGAAACTTTTTTCGACTGCTGCTGCAGCACTTTGGCGACACTCAATTGGTATAAAAAATATGTCAACAAATTCATTATCATCTGAAACGTGCACCTTTAAGATCACCCTGTGTTTTCAGTAATTTATTTATTACTAGATTTTTTATTCTTATTCATAATGTCTAATGAAAAGTACTATACAGTCTGTCCAAGATAAGGATGAACAGCATGGGGATCTCGAAAACGGTAAGAGATACGAAATCGGTTAAATGGGGAAAAAGTTGCGCATTCGGAGGCTCATATCAAGAGCCTTCGAAAATTTTGAAAATTATTTTTAGTTTTTGAGTTATATCGAAAAGAGTGAATTTTTTGAATTTCTATTTTATTTTTTTTTTCTCCGTTATTATTAGAGATACAGCAAAACTGAGAATACTTTTTCATAGCAACTTTTGATGACGGTCAACGTGGTGATACCGATTTTTTCATGCGACGTTTCGTATTCGTGGAACCATCATCAACTTTTGTTTTTTAAATACGGTCCTGATAATTTTTTCACAGATTCTAAAAGGTGTTTTTCTTCTGAATTCAACCATTTGTGTTTCGACCTGTTTTTGGCCATCATCAATGTTTTTTCGAAACTCCAAAGGAAAAATGCCATCAGTTCCACTTATTTTGAAGGAAAATTAGTCAACACACTAATACCTCATCAACTGGTTTCAATCAACAACCCATTTCATTTCGCAGAAACAAAAATTCCATCCATACAAATTCAGAATATGTCAAGCGCTAAAACCAGGCGATGACGAAAGGCGCAAGACATTCTGTGAGTGGTATACCAGGAAATGTTAAAATTTTGCAGATTTCTTTCGAACAATCATCTGGACTGATGAAAGCATGGTCACTAATCATGGTAGCTTCGATATACATATAAAAAATACACATTATTGTTCACGAGAAAATGAACATTTATACATTACAGCGAGACACCAACACCGTTTTGGCTTTGATATGTGGGTTGCAATATTTGGTACACGGAATTATTGGTTCTTCTATTTACCATGAAACACAGACTCCTGAACGTTATAGAAATTCGCTTGAGAATCATCTTGAGGAAGCTCTGGATGATTTACCGATTGCGGAAGTTCAGAACTCTGTTGGTTTCAACAGGATGGCGCTCCGGTACATAATTCCAGAGAAGTCCGTGCGTTTTTATCTCTTGGCCGGCGCGGTCGCCTGATTTAACACAGCTGGATTTTTTCTTAGGGGATATATCGAACTTTGTACACGCAAATAACTTTGAGGATGAAGAAGAACTAAGGGACAGTGTCTTCGAAGCATTCAATAGAATAACCCCAGAAATGCCTAGCAATGTCTTAGAAACAACTGTGAGAAGAGGATATCTTTGTTCAGAAAATAATGGTTATCATTTTGAACATTTGTTATGAATGTCTCTGTAGGTATTGTCAAAGTTAAGTTGTTAAAGTAATTCGTGTAAGAATTCATCAACAATTTTAAACGCTGCATTGATCGAATGATGTAGTGAAATATTTTTTATTCACTTTTCATTATTGAATAACTAATCCATCAAGTTTGACACTAAATGATAAGAAATAAGTGGAACTGATGGCTTTTTTTCTTTTGGAAGTTCGAAAAAACATTGATGATGGATAGAAATAGGTCGAAACACATTCGAATCACCTTGTATAGTACATTGTTGAATTCAGAATAAAAAAACCTTTCAGAATCTGTGAAAAAATTATCAGGACCGTATTTAAAAAACAAAAGTTGATGATGGTTCCACGAATACGAAACGTCGCATAAAAAAATCGGTATCACCACGTTAAACCTCATCAAAAGTTGCAAAGAAAAAGTATTTTTAGTTTTTCTGTATCTCTGATAATAACGGAGAAAAAAAATAAAATAGAAATTCCAAAAATTCACTTTTTTCGATATAACTCAAAAACTAAAAATAATTTTCGAAATTTTCGAAGGCTCTTGATATGAGCCTCCGAATGCGCAACTTTTTCCCCATTTAAGCGACTTCGTATCTCTTACCGTTTTCGAGATCCCCATGCTGTTCATCCTTATCTTGGACAGACTGTATACAAATCAATCATAATAACAACAAAGATACAAGAGGTATATTTCATCCTTGTCACTGAGTGTAAATCATGAAATATTAGAATTTGGTTCCTGAATTCGTCTGATTCTGAAAAGTGGAATCTGTTTTTGAATGCCTGATTTAAAGTAGTTGTTTTTTTCTAGATATATTGGCTCAGAAAAATGAATTGATACTTCACAAACAACCAACATTTTCGATGCCTACAAATGTTGATATTTCTACACAAAACCAGTCAAATTCCCTAGATTCCTGTAAAACCATCATTCCAACGAATAAACCCATTTGGACTTTCACGAAAATACCTCAAAAGTCCATAATAATATCCACAAGTCAAAATCCCGGCCAACAAAAAAGTTTCAGCCTGCTGAGGCCGTCCTCAGTACCCACATTTACGTACAAAAATGTACCTGATGCCAATAAAAACACTGTGGACGCTAATAAAAACACTGTGGACGCTAATAAAAACCCTCCGACGGAAACCCTCCCAAGAAATATAATCGATAAGGCCATTTTGGATACCGCTTTGGCTAACGGAACATTCGGTTCATCCATTTTGCAGCTGCAACAAAAGTTCAAAGATACAAAGATGGGCACGGCAGGTGATTGCATCACCCTGTACAATGCATTTCAGGAGTCCGTGTCGAATATGATCGGGGCTTTGTTGGACGTCAAGAAAGAGCATATTTTGGCCAGCATCAGTCCAGGTCGTATACAAGGTGAAAAAGATTTTTTCCTACAACTGTCAAAAAACTGCATTTTTTTTATATATTTTGGGTGCCTGATTGGCAAATATTGATTGGTTAGGGACCCATACACTGCGTTGTTGGTAAGCTATTTTGTTCGCAAAACTGAACTATGTGGCTGGTCCTAAATGTACCTTGACACCTTGCTGTTTTGACGTTTTTTGTATAGGTCGCGTGCAAGAACTGTCAGATGACCGACCCTGGAGGCAAAATATTGAAACACAAAGTCACTTTTCTTATTTGGTTACAAAAGTGATTGAAATAGTTTTTCACAATTATTTTGGCATAGGAATCGTATTTTTCCACTATTCATCAATTCGCTCATGCCATCACATTGTGCTGTTGTAAAATGCACAAAAACTGCAGCGGAAGATGAAGGAATCCGGATGGTACATTATAATTTAAAAGTAAGTACCTACTATAGTCACTCACACATAGTTTTCATTTTTGAAATTTGGTTATTTCTCTGATTTCTCATCGGAATTCCTTCTGCAATAAGAGCTAATAGAAATATACCTGAAATTTCTAGAATAATGCAAGAAGATTGGATTCATGAAATCAATCGGGAGGACTGGTCTGACATGCTGACGATCGTGTGTGTGTTGTAGACATTTTCAATCTATTAGCAGTATTAGCTTGTATCGCATTCGCTTGCCGGTCGTGGGTTCGATCCCCGTCGACTGCAGAAATTTTTCTGATGGCCCAAGAAAGTGTTTGGGATCACACTTTAAAAGGTAAGGCCCCCGTCATTCCTTGCTCGCACAAGACTTTCGAAGACTTTTGAGGGTTGCTCGTAAGGGGGCAACCGAATGACAGATAGAACAATTTTAGATAGAACAATTGCAGAAGTGGCAGAAGGAATTTTAATAAGAAATAACAACATTAAATAATGATAACTATGTGAGGTTACTATTTACCTGAAAAATCATATTCCCTAGTCTCTTGCTGCATTTTTTGTGCATTGTACAACAGCACAATGCGAAGGCATGCTTGAATTAATGAATAACGCAAGAAACACGATTCGTATACCAAAATAGTGTGAAAAACTATTTCAATCCTTTGATTCCTCTGTAACCAAATAAAAAAGTGAGGTTGTGTTTCAATAATTTACAGAAGAATGAGGTTGTGTTTCAATATTTTGCCTCCAGGGTCGGTCATCGTGCACGCGACCTATTAGAGTACGGACCCTAGACAAGCAGTGACAATCAAACATAACCACAAACGATTTTGAAGCAAATCATATGTTTTGCCAAACAAGGACGAGAATATGTATTTCGCTTAGTTAAAGGATCCTCGCATCTTCCTTCCTCCACAAGTCCTGGGAAGAGTACATCCATATATCTTTCTCTGTCTTGATTAGAAAATTATTTCTTCTCGAAATATTCAATGATTTGACTGGAGGACCTCAATGGAGATCGATATCAAGTTGGTAAATTCTCTTATAATATGTGGGTATATATACAGGCTGACTGACAAAAAACGCCCCAAGCCATAGCGCCGCTATTTATTATCCGATTTCGAAAAACAAAAAAGCAAATGAAATGATATATCAGATACTACAAGGTGGCACTAACAATTTTTTTTTAAATTCCAACTCTAACGACGCCGATTGTCAACTTTTTTTTTTCGAATGGAAACATATTTTTAAATTTTTTTTCTGATAAAGATTTTTTTCTGAATATAATCATGTATAACAAGTTGATTTTTGCACAAAATTAGTTGACAAAAATCATTGTCTATCGAGTCATTGAACGTAGAGTCCGTCACTTATACAAAAAAGACATTACAATGTTAGAAAAATAATGATTATTTGAAAACAAAATATCTTAGGAAACTACAAGTTGAATGAGGTTGTCCTTTTTTTGACAGTAGTAGGACAAATATTGTGTGTAACACTCGGTGTAACACGTGCGTAAAGTGTTTTTTACTCTTAGGAATTGCCGCACTGCGCCTTAGGCGTCAAAAAAGTACCACTTTACACACTTGTTTCATAAATAACTATTTTTTGTGAATTCTAGTCAGTTTTGAAAGGTTTCACTCTATAGAGGATTTTCAAATTCAAATGTTCGTATGATACTTGTAGATAGAGGGCACTGATTAGTCTTTTTGAAATACTCTCACGGTCAGAATAATTTATAAAAAAGAATATTGATGTTGCTGACATTCTTGTTACAGTGACCATAAATGATGGATACATTGTCTAAATCACATTTGAGTAATTATTTCCTGCCATAGTACTTTCACACCTATGAAATTTTTATTCAGGATGAAAAAGAAGCGAAGGAAGGAATAATACAGGGTAGATGTCACGACGAGCTCAGAGCTCAGACTAACTTAATTTCGAGAATCAGTCGCGAGAAATTCATGAAAATGTGCATGCTTATATTTGAGATTACGCTCTCCGTTTAAAATAATTTCGACAACGCAATGTTGCCGCTTCTACGAAAAGGTAGCAACAACTTTGTTATGTCAAATGATATACCTTCTTTTTCATTGTATTCTTAGACTCTCCCTTGATAGCTGATTCCATTTATATATCTCACACTCGGGGTCTAACGGGAATGATAAAAGAGATATAGGGTGTTCCAATACGAGATTTTTCAACTTTAGGATTTTTTGTGTCGAAACTATTCATCATTGGTCAAATTGGCTCAAATGTCTCTATCTCAACTTTTGATTTACTATCTACTGACATTTAGTTTGAACAAATGCAGGGTGGCTCAAGATTCGAATTTCTGATCACCATGAATCTGTTCCAATTAAATGTCATTCAAAAGTTGACATAGGATCATGTAAGCCGTTTTGACCTATAACTATGCCTATAATGAATAGTTTAAAAAACAAATCCTAAAGTTAAAAAATCTCCATTTTTCACACCCTATATATCTGTCATCATTTTCGATAGACCCCAAGTATGATAAATCGATGAAATTAGCTTTTCAGGAAAAATGTTTGTTAGCATCTAGCAACTAGATGCGCTACTGCTCAGTGAAATGTGCTTAGATCAGAGCCTATGACATCAGACGTGTGTGAAGACTGGCTCATACAGTGTTTGGCAGGCAGCCGAATTAAGAGCAAGTGTAACCCTTGTACATGTCATTTGTGCTCGTGTTTATTGAATTGTGATCATAACATAACAATTAAAATGCGATGAAATACAGGGTGTTCCATTTGAAATATCAATGTTGCTACTACTTTCTAGTAGAAGCGACAACACTGCATCGTCGAAAATATTGTAAATGAAGAGAACGTATTCTGAAATATGAGCATACACATTTTCATGAATTTCTCTAGACTGAATCTCGATATAAAGATAGTGACCTTGACAAATTTCATCTGGATCAAATAAATGACATTCGAATACACTCATATTCTTATTTCAAATAACGACTTTTATTACGGTTCCTGTTAAGTTCCAATGAGTGATATAGGTGGAATAATGTAACTACTAAGTTTGAGTTGATTATACTGAGTGGTTTGAAAGTTATGCCCACATAAAGATAATGCCCTGTATATGAGTAATGAAAGACGGTTTACACACATCCATGGGGGGTGATTTGGAACCACCAAAGTGTTATTTGTATGCAGGTACTGTATTTACATTTAAATTTGAAACACCCTCTATGTTGATATGCCAAAATTAGAAAAACCTACTTTTCTAGGTACGAAAAGACTTGCACCTGTCAATTACCATAATAAAGGATCGATACCAGTTTCCAATTTTTATGAAAAACAAGCGACAACGCCTGCGTTTTTTTCTATTCGTCCTGATCCTGTTGTTTTAATACCGAGCGTTTCGAAAAATATCGACTCGAATCAGAAAAGCAATTCATAGTCGATAAATGGATTTCGATATTTTTGTTATCTAATTTATTGTTCAAATTTTAATATTTATTGTTTCTGCTGTGTTTTCAATTGATCTGTTGAGTTTAATAAATATTATAACCTTATTATTGAGAATTTGGGTCTGCTGTGAACAGGCGAAGGCGAAATACAGTATATGGACTTTTCATATTATCACTAGGTATAAATGATTACATTAAATGAATAATATTTGGGTATCTTTGGAGTGGTTCAACATATAGTTCTGAAGGTTTTATACAGGTAAGTCATGTTCCAAATTTCTTAATGCTATTTTGTCTATTGACTTTTTCTTTTGATATTTCTCTCTTGAAATTTTTTGACAAGGTAGATTATTTTCCCGTCATTTTTTGTTGTTTCCACAATTTTTTGACTTATCACATATCGGAATGGAAGTACCTATTAGCAGAATTCCGAAGAAAAGATTGTCTGGCCAATGGTTCAACATCCATTGGCTCGGATGGAGAGTCACCACATTCGCTGAGTATAAACGCCTAGCGTTGCCAGATGGCAACACGAATATTTGATGCAAATTTTCTACACCAAATACATTCCTGCAATTTTTTTCAATATGTCACAAATATAACTTGAAGCATCTGCAACATGATTGTGGGAACAAAAATCGCAAAATCAAATGCGTGAAAAGTGGATGATACGAACACGAACGTGACGTCTATGTTTTACGTCAGTTCAAATAAAGGGTCTGAGAATTATTTGAATCTATATCTGTCTTGCGTTGCCATATGGCAACGCACGGCGCTAATGGGTTAATGGGTTAAGTTTGGCTCTCTGATGGGAAAATTCTTTAAACGCATTGACATTTTGGGACAAATCATCTGATTTGTCCTTACTACACGTATATTGAAATAATATTCATGTTTTTATTTAATAGAAACGAGGAGAAAATCCCGAAAAAATTGGAATAATTTATTCACTCATTCTTGAGTTATTGCGAAAAAACTATTTATATTTCCCAACTTCAACACCCTGTATCTCGAGAACTGACCACTTGAAGGCCGTACGTTCCTATCTCAAGAATTATGAAATGAGGAGGGCAATCATCTGTCAAACGTTGTCGGTCGAATTCTGAAACACCCTGTTTAAAAAAACATCGGTATGGGTCTGAGCTTACTGAAAATGTTCATCGTTCTCAATGGATTCAACCACTCCTTTAGATCACTTGACCTTTTCCAATTTGTTTATACAGTTCAAGTATAATTCATTGAATTAATAAAATTATTATACCATCGGTCAATTGGCATGATATGGTAAGGTCAATGCGTAAGTTTATACAAAATAACGACAATGCACAGGGTGGATATTTCTTATCGTAATCAAAAAAAATGTAAAAACTTCACAAACGATAAGTAAGATAGTAATCAAAAGAAATAATCAACTTTGCATTGTGATATTGATGGTAGAGAAAAATATCAACTTCAATAATGAGTTGCACCAATAGGACCAGATAGATCTGTTTTTTTTTTGCGAGAAAACAGGAGGTGGGTACTGAAAATCTGCGAGTCAGAAAAACAGTTTCCAGGCGTGTATTATATTGGCAACCAACAAAGCAAGTTTCCTAATATTTATTTGTGGAGCAAAAATAGGAACAATCGAATACTTTGATTATGCATGCAACATATTTATATTCATCCCATAATCTTGACGGGATTCAATTTATTTCAATTGCTTAGTATATCAAAATATCTGTTGCCGAAGTCAGAAAACGAAGGTAAGGTGCCGTCATCGTCCATGTGATTTCAGGAACGTACGTCCATTTGTTATTTAAAGTTTTGAAGAAAATTCAGAAGATAGAAGGTTATTTGAAAGAATTCAGGCATTTTTGCGATTTTTGCAGTTTTCAGGAATTTTTTGAAATGTTTACAATTTTCCGGAATTTTTGCAATTTTTGCAATTTTCAGGAATTTTTGCAATTTTCAGGAATTTTTGCAATTTTCAGGAATTTTTGCAATTTTCAGGAATTTCTGCAATTTTTGCAATTTTCAGGAATATTTGCGATTTCTGCAATTTTCAGGCATTTTTGCGATTTTTGCAATTTTCAGGAATTCTTAGAAATTTTTACAATTTTCAGGAATTTTCAGGAATTTTTGCAATTTTTGCTATTTCTGCAATTTTCAGGCAATTTCTGCGATTTTTGCAATTTTTAGTAATTTCTGCGATTTTTGCAATTTTCAGGAATTTTCCTAATTTTCAGGAACTTTTGCAATTTTTCAGGCATTTTTGCAATTTTTGCAATTTTCAGGAATTTTTGCAATTATCAGGAATATCTGCAATTTTTGCAATTTTCAGGAATATTTGCAATTTCTGCAATTTTCAGGCACTTTTTCGACTTTTGCAATTTTCAGGCATTTTTTCCGAAATTTTTCTAATTTTCCGGAATTTTTGCAATTTTCAGTTTTTGCAATTTTCAGGAATTTCTGCAATTTTTGCAATTTTCAGGAATTTTTGCAATTTTCAGACATTTGTGCGATTTTTGCATTTCTCAGGAATTTTTGCGATTTTCAGGCATTTTTGTGATTTTTGAAAATTCTTGAAAATTCCAAAAATGCCTGGAAATCTGCAAAAATCGCAAATATTCCAGAAAATTGCAAAAATTCCTGAAGATTGCAAAAATTGCAGAAATTGCGAAAATTCCTGAAAATTGCAAAAATTACTGAAAATTGCAAAAATTTCTGAAAATTTCAGAAATTCCTGAAAATTGCAAAAATTCCTGAAAATTGCAAAAATTGCAAAAATAACAAAAATTCCTGGAAATTGCAAAAATTCCTGAAAATTGCAAAAATTGCAAAAATTCCTGAAAATTGCAAAAATTGCAAAAACTCCTGAAAATTGCAAAAATTGCAGAAATCGCGAAAATTCCTGAAAATTGCAAAAATTCCTGCAAATTGCAAACGTTCCTGAAAATTGCAAAAATTGCAAAAATTCCTGAAAATAAGAAATTGCAAAAACTGCAGAAATTGCGAAAATTCCTGAAAATTGGAAAATTTCCTGAAAATTGCAAAATTTCCTGAAAACTGCAAAATTGCAGAAATTGCGAAAATTCCTGGAAATTGGAAAAATTCCTGAAAATTGCAAAAATTGCAAAAATTCCCGAAAATTGCAAAAATTGTAAAAATTCCTGAAAATTGCAAAAATTCCTGAAAATTGCAAAAATTCCTGAAAATTGCAAAAATTGCAAAAATTCCTGAAAATTGCAAAAATTCCTGAAAATTGCAAAAATTGCAAAAATTGCGAAAATTACTGAAAATTGCAAAAATTGCAAAAGTTGCAAAAATTGAAAAATTGCAAAAATTGCTGAAAATTGCAAAAATTCCTGGAAATTGCAGAAATTGCGAAAATTCCTGAAAATTGCAGAAATTGCATAAATTCCTGAAAATTGAAGAAATTGCAAAAATTCCTGAAAATTGCAAAAATTGCAAAAACTCCTGAAAATTGCAGAAATCGCAAAAATTCCTGAAAATTGGAAAAATTCCTGAAAATTGCACGAATTGCAAAAATTCCTGAAAATTGCAAAAATTGCAAAAATTCCTGAAAATTGCAAAAATTCCTGAAAATTGTAAAAATTGCAGAAATTGCAAAAATTCCTGAAAAGTGGAAAAATTCCTGAAAATTGCAAAATTTCCTGAAAATTGCAAAAATTCCGGAAAACTGCAAAATTGCAGAAATTGCGAAAATTCCTGGAAATTGGAAAAATTCCTGAAAATTGCAAAAATTCCTGAAAATTGCAAAAATTGCAAAAATTCCTGAAAATTGCAAAAATTGCAAAAATTCCCGAAAATTGCAAAAATTGCAAAAATTGCAAAAATTCCTGAAAATTGCAAAAATTCCTGAAAATTGCAAAAATTGCAGAAATTGCGAAAATTCCTGAAAATTGGAAAAAATTCCTGAAAGTTGTAAAAAATTCCTGAAAATTGCAAAAATTGCAAAAATTGCAAAAATTGCAAAAATTGCAAAAATTGCAAATTTTGCAAAAATTGCAAAAATTGCAAAAATTGCAAAAATTCCTGAAAATTGAAGAAATTGCGAAAACTGCAAAAATTGCAAAAATTGCAAAAATTGCAAAAATTGCAAAAATTCCTGGAAATTGCAGAAATTGCGAAAATTACTGAAAATTGGAAAATTTCCTGAAAATTGCAAAAATTCCCGAAAATTGCAAAAATTGCAAAAATTGCAAAAATTGCAAAAATTCCTGAAAATTGCAAAAATTGCAGAAATTGCGAAAATTCCTGAAAATTGGAAAAATTCCTGAAAATTGCAAAAATTCCTGAAAATTTCAAAAATTCTTGAAAGTTGTAAAAAATTCCTGAAAATTGCAAAAATTGCAAAAATTGCAAAAATTGCGAAAATTGCAAAAATTGCAAATTTTGCAAAAATTGCAAAAATTGCAAAAAATGCAAAAATTGCAAAAATTGCAAAAATTCCTGAAAATTGAAGAAATTGCGAAAACTGCAAAAATTGCAAAAATTCCTGGAAATTGCAAAAATTCCTGGAAATTGCAAAAATTCCTGAAAATTGCAGAAATTGCAGAAATTGCAAAAATTGCAAAAATTGCAAAAATTCCTGAAAATTGAAGAAATTGCGAAAACTGCAAAAATTGCAAAAATTGCAAAAATTCCTGGAAATTGCAAAAATTCCTGAAAATTGGAAAAATTCCTGAAAATTGCAAAAATTCCTGAAAATTTCAAAAATTCCTGAAAGTTGTAAAAAATTCCTGAAAATTGCAAAAATTGCAAAAATTGCAAAAATTGCGAAAATTGCAAAAATTGCAAATTTTGCAAAAATTGCAAAAATTGCAAAAATTGCAAAAATTGCAAAAATTCCTGAAAATTGAAGAAATTGCGAAAACTGCAAAAATTGCAAAAATTGCAAAAATTGCAAAAATTGCAAAAATTCCTGGAAATTGCAGAAATTGCGAAAATTCCTGAAAATTGGAAAATTTCCTGAAAATTGCAAAAATTCCCGAAAATTGCAAAAATTGCAAAAATTGCAAAAATTGCAAAAATTGCAAAAATTCCTGAAAATTGCAAAAATTGCAGAAATTGCGAAAATTCCTGAAAATTGGAAAAATTC